CGGCGAGGTGGAAAACTCGCAGGGGTCCAAAGACTACTTTTCTTTTGAACAAAGCAGGTAGCATAGTGAGAATGATGTTCTTTGAATTCTCCTGTGTATTTAACACAAAATCTCACTTGAATCTCACAAGAAGTTTCTGAAGATGCAGGTAGACGCCTCCACAGCTTCCTGCGTCAGTGACTTTGACCCTGACTTCACGAGACTATAGGAAGGGACAGAGCAGACTCTGCTTTCTAAGGAAGCTCAGGTCCTTTAATATGTGCAGCAGGATGTTGCCTGTCTGTTGTGACCAGTGCAATATTTGCTTCTATCATTAGCAGCAGCATTAGTGACATCAGTAAACTGACCAAACTGATCAGGAAGGCTGGCTCTGTGCTGGGGACATCTCTAACTACACACACAGACACACACACACACACACACACACACACACACACACACATATATATGTATGTGCCTCAAGCTCCCAGGCCTCTGGTAGAGGACCTGAGCTTCAAGGAAGGAGTAAGACTGCCCCAAGATATTGGGGTCACATCCCCCCAGTGTTCCTATTACCACAGTGACCACCTGTGCCTTCACCTTCCACATCTTTTCTAGCTCTTCTTTCAGCCCTTGATATTTCTCGAGCTTCTCGTGTTCCTTCTTCCTGATGTTGCTATCGCTTGGGATTGCTACATCTATCACTACAGCCTTCTTCTTTTGTTTGTCCACCACTACTTTGTCCTGTTTCTTAATTTATATTTTTAAACGTATCTTTCTTATTACTTATATAGTAGTTTACTTGATATTTGACCCTATTTTGTAAACATTGTTTTTTTTTTTTTTACTGAAACACCAGAATTTCTTTTTGGGAATTAATAAATTATCTATCTATCTGTGTACTGTATGTGTCAATCTGTCTATCAATTAGCCATAGAGTGTTTTATTACACCAAATAAATAAATGTTTCATGTTTTATATGTTAGTGTATGTTTATGATAAATGAACAAAGACATACAGTATATCTACAAATGTATGGTTTCTACGGTGCCATGCTATGTTATGTATGATTGGGATCAGGTAGATAGCATGTTGATGTTAAAATCTTATGAACAAACTGTAACAAAACTCCAAAAACACTTATTTTGGGAGAAGCAGAGCTCTTTAAGAAAAGTACTGTTTACACTATCACCTATGGAACAGATGGTATTTAACAAGGTTTTATGGCGTGATTCTTCATTTTCTGCATCAGACCTCTGAAACATCATTACTTTAAAATCATATTTATAAGCAATTCTGATAGTAAAAGTCATCAGCATCAAGATAGTGGATCAATGTTAAGTATGCTTTACTGAGCTGTTAAAGAGGGCCCATGCTCTCCAGGAGTCTAAACTGAATGTTAACATTGAGCAAAAGCCTTATGACCAGTGTGCTTTCCTTAGGTAAGATGTCAGTGTTGTGTCAGATATCATGCTCAAACAGCACAGATGCAGAGTACAGGTAGAGTAGCCTGGACAAAGTTCTGCTCTAACCAGAACCAGGTTTTGACTCTGTCGCAGAACTGGTTCAAACTAGCCTTAGTTTGAACTTGGCATGAGCCGCTCTTGGTTAAATATACTGGGTTCATTAGCATCTGTGTTTAAGTCAGTTCTTACATCCAACTGAGGTCATTAGCACTGTCCTGCTTACTCATGTATTTAATCCATTATGTACTTTGCTTGTGTAATTTTTGGGTCAATATTCATGGTCAATATTCAACCTGACCTCACAGGACATTTGGGAATTTATATCTTTTTTTGACATAGTGCAAGCGACATAGGTGAGTCTGTAAAGTTCAGGAGTAAATTGATTTTGTTTGGGTAGACCGCAATAGTGCCATAGCCAGAGGTGGAAAGTAACTAAGTACATTTACTCAAACACTGTATTAAGTACAGTTTTGAGGTATCTGTGCTTCACTTGAATATTTTCACTTTCTGCATCTTCATACTTCATCTTCACTACATTTTATGGACAAATATTGTGCAATCCAGTAATACTCAATAATGGCTTATACAGTACAATATTGTATAATCCGGATATATAATATACATCATTGTCAAATTTGCTCTTCTGCATAATGAGTATTTTTACTTTTTGTACTTTAAGTATATTTTTATGCTAATACTTTTGCACTTTTGTATAAATAAATTATGAATGTAGGACTTTTACTTGTACAGAGTATTTTACACTGTGGTGTTGCTACTTTTACTTGACAAATGAATCTGAGTACTTCTTCCACCACTGGCTATAGCCAGAAAGATAAGTGTCTTTAATTCAAGCCCAGATTTGAGTTACTTAAACTCTTAAGTGTAATGAACACAATTGTGCTTTAGTATTTGTTCTGAACAGCAAACATATACATACATTTGTTGCACAATAAATAAACCAATAATATTAATAAGGAAAAACTTCAAATTTATTTAGGAAGATTTATTTAAACTTTTCTTTATAAAACATAAAAATCCATCAACATGAACACTTCACTTCAAAATATACAATAGAACGCAGCATTTCAAAAGACACACAAAACAGTCACTCACATTCATTCCTGTGAATACCCACAGTTAATTGCACAAATACACACACTGCAATCTGGATTCATTACAGGTCTTTGAAAACAAGCTGAGTAAAGTGATTTCCACTCTTCTGGCATAGCTGTTTAATGGATTATCATTACTGTCAAGAGAAGATGTGTTTAATTAACTCTGTAACAGTGTGATAATGCTGTACTTGATAAACTGTAACCGATCCTTGTGTGGTTTCAGTAACTGAGTTGATGAATATGTTTGACTTAAACTAGCACATGGCCACAAAACAGGAATTCATGACATGCCTTACCATCAATGCCTTCAAGACCAGCAGAAGTAAAATACAAGTTTGCACAGTATCCCCACTGACTGATTCACACTAACAGCAGTCCAGTCAAGCAAAGCAAATAAAAGCCTAAAAGTCTTTTACTGAATGGAATTGGTGCAACAGATGAATAGCATGCATATGAGGTAATAATAATGAGGAATAATTTCACGCTGGACCACAGGTGTGCTGCTTTTTGTTCCAGACTTCACTGCAGAGCACATCACTGTTTTTTACTGAATGTCTTACTGATAGTGGAAGATATGAAAAACCCTTGGGCACATTTAGTTAACTGTTAGCAAACATATAAGTTAAAAGTAAATGTGTTCTAAAGAAAGAGTAAATATATCACATTTTTGTTTGCTAGCTACTTAGCTAGAACTTACCCTTATTTGAAAAATGTGCTTCAAAGCAGTGGCTTCATGCCAAATGTTGACAAGAGTTTCTAATGCAGTTGGAATAAGGCTTACTTTTGTCCCCGTGAATCAGTAAAAAAAAGTTTTAATAATGTTTATACAACATTAACACTGGTAAATGTAGTTAGCTGTAGCTAACATGTTAATTCTATGACACTAAAAAATGTTATTCTTCTCTGGTTAATATGCTTTCTGCATGCCACTACATGTACTATCTATATCATTTTGATGTCATATAAGATAGAAAGTGGACAGTGTTTTTTTAGTGATGTCTTTATGTAGCCTAAATTAACCCTAAAGCTATCTGATTATTTTCAGTAGCTAGTGTAGCTACTAGTTAGCAGCGAGCTCTTGAGTTCAAATGATGCAGACAGCTGGCAGATAGTGAAACAGTTGCCATAATCTCCCGCTACTTGATCAATCATTTAGTTTGCTTAAGCTTCACTGAAAAAAAAGGTCTTGAATGTAAGATTCAGGATTGTGAAGAAACCTGTTTTGTCAGTCTGTGAAGCTACAGTAATGTTACTGCTGCATAAGCAGATGAGCTCTCTCTTTTACCAGCATTTTTACATTGGTGATGTAAATAACTGTGATAAAAGTGATAATTTATCATTTGATTGATGCTGGTTTTTAAACCACTTTCTCAATATTGATCAGAAAATGTCTAGTTATATATTTTCATCAAACTGTTCTTCTCACTTATCAGCTCAATTCATCTTGTCATTTTTTTTCTTTTGCTCCCTTTCTCTCTGGATTTCTACCACTGCAACTTTGACTGTCACCCATCATGATGCAAGATGTCAGTCATTTTTTTTCTCTTCCTTCTGTAGCACCCAAGTAAGGAAAGCAGGAGGAGATAAAAGACAAAGTGCATGCTTCAATCAAAGAAATTCTCAGACAATCAGGATGCCTTTGGTGGCCTTTGGACCTTTGGTCACCTCAGCTCCATCAACTTTTGGGCTAATAGTTCTGGCCCCACAATGTCCCGCCTTTAAAGGACATTTCCTGGTCAGCTTGTATGCTTATTTGTGTCAGAAGTCATGTCATGGCTGAATCACTTAGTAGGCCGATTGACGGCCAGATCCAGTGGCTCCTTGGAAGGAACACACCAATCATCTGCTTCTAGGCTCAGCTTGTAGTGGCGCAGAGCAGACTTGTTAAACACTGGCAGCCTCTCCACGGAGTCCGTAGACAATGCCTTGATATAGACAGATAAAAAACTGATTTTAATGGAGGGATGACTGACTGCAAGGACACAAATTCTGGCTTTGCAGCATTTTAAGGCTGTTTAAATTAGTCTATAACTGTTATCAGAACAACAAATCCCTAAGCTCAGCTTAGTTCTGGATAAAGAGTTCTGTACTTACCTGTACATGATAAAATACACTTATACAGTAAAATAAACAGTACACAACAAAGCATACCAATTTAAATTTAGTTTGGAAGACTATGAGCAAAAGAGGTAATTACAATGAGCTGTTTTATTATGACATTTACTGATGAATTGTCATTAAACACTTAAATAGACATACACCACAGGTATAATTGATATACATACAGAGTGAGATTTTTTAAAGGAACAAGTCAACATTCTAGGATGTGTTTATTTGCTTTCTTGTGAATAGTTAAAATGAGAAGACCAAACTAAATATGTAGCTGGAGTTATCAGCCAGTTAGTTTATCTTAATATAGCACGGAAACAGGAAGAAACACCTAATCCATCAAAATTTGCCTTCCAGGGCCTCTAACACTGTATATCTCATTTTTAATACAGACAAAATGTAAACTGTAAAAACAACAGCTCACAGTTTTACAAGGGTTATGTGCCAGACTATTTCTTGGCTGGTAGCAGTGTCTTCTGGAGTCTTGTTGTTGCTGAGGTTGTCACACAACCTAAGACTCTGATTAAGAGCTTTGCACCATTTCACATCACGCAAACACTTACATGTTCATATATAATTGTATATATTTGCTGTTGTGTTTATTGTTGTTGCATATATTTATATTGTAACTATCTTGTTTTGTTTTGATTCTTTTATCGCTGCTGGTCACTGAGAGCTATCAAAACAATTTCGTTGTACAACTACAATGACAATAAAGTATCTATCTATATATATATATTTATATGTTTATAAAAAATACCTTCAGCTGTATGACCGCATCAGTGCCGTAACCCTCCATAGAGTAAAGCTGTAAGTCTCCCTGGAAGTAACGTGCATAGAGGCGAGAGATGGGCAGACCATAGCCAAACCCAGCCTGTATACACACAAAAACAATTAGTGTATACATATATTATACACACACTCCAGCTTTTGTTATATATTGTGTTTTATTATATTAATAATGAGTGTGTATGTGTGATTTGCTCACCAGTGGGGCTCTGTGTTTGTCTCCTAGGGAAGGTCTGGGAGCTGTGGAGTACATGTAGCTGAAGAGGTGCTCAGTCTTCCTATAGGGAAAGCCACCTCCTTTGTCACTCATCTGGAGAGAGACATACTGAGGGACTGAAACAGCAGTGAGGGCTCAGCAGCACTGATAGAGGCTAAACAAATAAATAATGTTAAGAGGATGGAGACCTGAGTTTGGAGAGAAAACCTTTCATTTCATTTGTATGTATGCATGTGTAAGTCCACATTTAATAATCACAGTCAGGTTTTCCTTATCAGGCAATTAGGACAAAGGTTGCAGGTATCAGACAATAGAGCTAATCCTGTATAAATATGGATGCATGGTGTGATGGGAACCAGAGATGTCAATGAATGGCTTTGGCATCTGGGCAGATCATAATTCTGTCATGATAATGAGGGTTTATGAGGTTTATGTAACCTAATGGAGAAGCTGAGCACAGGTAAGCTGGGGTATAAATAGGGCAAAGGGGGAAATATGTTATTTCATAATGGGAACAAGAAGAAAACATTCATCCTAGTCTTTTTTTCTATAGCTTTAATCATAACATACAGTAATTACCTAACCGTATGCATTATATAATGCATGGATTACTGTGAAATAAAGAAGCTTTAATTGAGTTAATTCTAGTGGCTTTTCTTAGAAATTATTATTGAGAATATGTGTCATGCAGATAACACTTTTCTTACTTAAGCTTACTCAGTCTTGTGTTGCATATGTTTACTGGTGCATTGTGGGGTTTCAAAGCCACTTCTACCATCAAGACAAAGTATTTGCTTATCTTGCATTCCTTTACAACATGCAGTATCAGCAAATTCACAATTCCCTGATTGGACTATTTCTTGATGACAGGGCACTACCCTTTGTTCTTCCTTCCTACATAGTCAAAGCGTTTCTACTGCAGTGCAAGTTCAACACAGGCAATTCTAGGAGGTAGCCATGTAAAAATAAAATCCACATGGAAGCTAGGATTGTGCCAATGACCTAACATTTCTTATATCACTTACAGACATATGAGATTGAAGTGTTTATGCATTGTGGAGAGCAGTCACTCACCTTGACTGACAGGTCCTCTCCGCCAAGGGCAACCATGACTTTGATGGGTGTGAGGGTTCTGCTGGCCTCATGGTTCTCAATGGTTGCTCTCATGGCATTCTACAAAAAGAAAACAAGGAGGGTTATCAGCTGTACATTCAGGTAGATGTTGACATTTTAACAAAAGGCAGGTATCGAATGATATCAAAGGAAGTTCGATATATTATAAAAGCCATACTGAACTAATTGTGTCGATAAAGTTGCTTTATGGGAAAATTAGAATGCACCATTTCTGGAGTTTTGCTTATAGAACGCACTAAAAATCAGGTTATCTTGGCCTCTGCTGCTTCAAAATTAACCTCTGCTTCTTAATCCATATCTCTCAATGAAACTGCAATATTGAATCATGAAAGTGGCACCCTAAGTTACTGTGTTGGCATTGTATAAAGTAAAACATACTGTATATCATACAAGGGTCTTTGGGGGGTGGGGGTGCAGATTCAGTATTATTAATTACCTTGAACAGTTCAAAGAGCATGTGGTATAGGTGAGATGGGACATATGAGATCTGGATGGACTCTCTGATGTTGTTGGCTAGAGGAAGGGAAAAGCACAAGAGTCAGCATTCTGCATACACACACACACTTGTACTTCTGTCTTTGTGAAGACATGCATTGACATAATGCATTCCCTAGCCCCTTACCCTAACATTTAACCATCAGAACTAAACTCTTAGCCATAACCCTACCCTAAACCTAACTCTAAGCTGAACCCTAAAAACAAGTCTTAACCCTCAAAAAGCTGTTTCACAAAGTGATGACTGTCCCCACTTTCCAAAAATGTCCTCACTCTGTAGCAAAAAATACTTTTTTTGGTCCTCACTATATAGCAAGTATGAGAACACACACACAGAGCTTTTATCAATTGCTAATGTGTGTGTGTGTGTGTGTGTGTGTGTGTTTTGTCACAGTGTTTTGTGTGTAACTCACCATTTATCTGCCTGAGCTCCAGCTCTGGTGCTCCCAGGTAATACTGCTCACACAACATCTTAGCACTCTCATAGGCATCTAGAAAAATGCAGAATTTATTTAAAAAAAAAGAAACTACTGTATTCTTTGACCTGTATGGGCACAATAAATTAGTCACAAAGATAAACAGATGTGATAAATACAAGGTTATCTATCATCTGTGTAAACTTTATGGCTGATAGGTCTGTTGGATCTGACCCTCTCTGTTCACACACTGAAACTGGACCAGACTGGATGAGCTGTCTGCCAGCTGTTATCAGCTTGCTCCATTTGACTCACTGTCAACTCTTTTTGAGTAGGATTCAGGGGGAAAAACTGAGATTTAAATTTGTATTTAGTTTTAGGTTTCTCAAGAGAACCAGTGCTCTCAAATGCACATGGTGTATGATGGCACCAAATAAACCCTTGGCAGTACCTTGACAAAGTTTTGCATCTGAAAATGTTTGTCTCTGTGTGGGATTGTCTGAAAATGAGTGTGTTTATAACTGTGTTGCAACTAAATCATCTGTGATTGTAACAATTATATCATGAAATTAAGGGCAAGCTGATATATTGTACTGTACCTGTCTAAATCTAATTTCCATCTCATGTGAAAGCCGCTCTCTCTCTATCCTGTCTTTCCTTACCTCGCACAACCTCTGTCACGTCACACACGGAGTCAATACAACCAATGGTGTTGGGGTGGGAGGGGTTTGTGCTGCCGCTGAAGACTAGAGCTTCGAGAAAGTAAAGAAAAAGGAAATCAGTAATTATTCTTACTACTACAACTGTAGTTACTATTTACAAAATCTCACTATCTTGCTCATGTGGTCAAGTATAGTTCCAACATCTGAAATAATAGTATTCTGGCTACAATGTGTGTTTGGGTTGAGGCACAGGCTGGTATTTTGATTATGTGTGTGTGTGTTTTTAACAGCTCACTGTGCTGGTTGATGAGCATGCGGATGGAGATGCGGCTGGTGTAGAAGCGGTCCAGGAAGTACTGGATGTTGTGGTCAGTGACGGGGTCCTGCTGGCCAAAGGCGTCTTTGTACTCCATGATTCCCTGAGCCATGGTGGGGACCACCTCATTGTGCCGGTTCCTGATAGCCTCCAGCACCTCCACAAACCTGGAATTAGGTGAGCGGAGGAGGGTAACAGAAGGGGAAGAAGGAAGATGAAAGGTTAGAGAAAAATAAGAAAGTGAAAGCAGTGTTGACCTGTACAGTTCAGATAGGTGTGTCACACTCACGTCTCAAGGACTCTCTGTTCATCTGGGTTCTTGTCCAGAAACTCCAAGATCTCCATCAGGCTCTGGATGTACCTGAGAGAATGCAGACAGAGGAGATTCACTGACTAGGTTCAATGACTTCAAGCATGTCTTAAAAACATAAAGGCCTGGGTGACATAAATTTCTCCTTTTAAATGCTGACAAAACTGAAGCTACTGTATTGGGGCCTTAAAAACTCAGAAATCTGCTGTCTAACCATATAGTTACTCTAGATGACATAGCCCTGGCCTCCAGTAGTGCTGTGAGGAACCTTGGAGTTAATTTTGACCAGGATATGTCCTTTAAATCACACATAAACCAAGTCTCTAGAACTGCCTTCTTTCATCAATATTATCAAAATCAGGAACATCCCATCTCAAAAGTGATGCTGAAAAACTGGTCCATGCATTTGTTACTTCCAGGCTGGACTACTGTAACTCTTCACTATCAGGATGTAATAAAAATCCCCTAAAAAGTCTGCAGTTAATCCAAAATGCTGCAGCCAGAGTACTGACAGGAACTAGCGAGAGAGATCATATCTTTTTTATATTAGCTTCTCTCCACTACTTCCCTGTAAAATCCAAAATTGAATTTAAAATCCTTCTACTAACATACAAAGCCCTTAATGACAAGGCTCCATCGTATCTTAAAAACCTCGTAGAGCCTTATCATCCCAACAGAGCACTTTGCTAGAGTCTAGAGAAGTAGAATGGGAGGCAGAGCCTTTAGCTATCAAGCTCCTCTCCTGTGGAACCAGCTCCCAGTCTCAGTTCAGGAGGCAGTTGGGTCAGACACTGCTTAACCTTAACAAATACAATGCAGATACTGTGTGTTAAGTCACATAGCTGCTGTTTGCTTGGGTGAGGATAGGCTACAGGGATGCTTTGTGTTAAGGGTAGGTTAGGTCTGGAAAATGGTGTCGCTTATTGTGGGCCTCTGAAGATACATAAAGATGGCTTGGCACCCCCCTCTTTGGGGCCAAATAACGAGTAAATATCATTTAACTTGTATACTGAGCTTCCGGCATAAAACATGCCAAGTTTGCACATTGTCAGTTTGGGGGCAACTGATGATTCGCTGTGGCAGGAGCAGCCAAAAGTAGTAGAAGAAGACTGAAAGACCAATCACATATTTTATTCTGTGTATGAACTTTTTGTAAATATATTTTATACACTGTGAAAAGTTGTAATATTATTATTAAGATCCAAACAGTCCACATGAATGACTAGTTGTTTTCCCCTTCTGTCTCTTCCGTTTAGGGAATCGGACCTGAGAGCCATGTTACTGTTACAAAAGTCAACAAGTGATGCCAGTGCTAAATATACAGAATGATAAATCTCATTTCCATCTTTGCACATTTTAGCTCCTGTTTTGGAAAGCTAAGCCTCTGTGACCACTCACCTCCAATAATTAGGTGAAAGGTCACACATCCATAACATACAATAATAAAGGAGTACATTTTGTATCAGCCTCAAGACACAGAATAAGCTAAATCTGAATGTTTTTGTTGACTTATGAAATGAAAGAGTTCAACTGATTGTGCTCAAAACACTGCTTTCAAAAGGTTCTACCTTTTTTTAATCTCAAGAATCCATTCTGTAAAAGTTTTGTTAGGAATAATGAAGGGAGTGTGACTTTGTTTATCAATTTTTCAAAGCAGTGAGGCTGGTGTTCTGCACACACTGTTCCCCTTACTGTAGCTGCAACAACAACAAGCAGGCAGGACAAGGAGAAATAAGAAGAAGAAAGGCGGGGTTAGAAGGGAAACTGGGACAAAGTTGAACCATCCGCCCTCCTCTGTTATGTAGTAGCCTAGCTGGTTATTTCAGGGCCTACAGTGTACTGTTAGTCTCCTATTCATAGCAGTTGAATTAAAAACTGCGTAACTCTTAAAAAGGAGGAAAAACTCTAGTTTAAAAAGAGTTCTTAAAGTGTTTCACAGCTACTATTTGTACTCAAAGAGCAGAGGCTGTACTTGAAGTTAAAACTCCAGGATCTCCAAAAGTGGAAAGTTGCACCTACTCTTGTTACTTGGAGCTACATTTTAATCTCAGTAAAATGTCACCTAGTGTTTCAAAAACACACTGGAAAACATATGGTAAGCAGGTCAGTAAATCAGTCACCACTCAAGCAGATCTTTTAATCAGCGAGTCAGTCATTCAGTGTGTGTCTCACCAGCTCTGGACCAGCTGGACAGAGGGTGTGGCCAGCAGCCGGTCCGGCAGCAGGTTGATCTCTTTCATAATGTTGGACAAACGAACGGGAAGCTCCTGGCGAAGGAAGACAAATGACGTGCGCTCGCAGGCGTTAGTCGAGCCTGGACAACAGGAAATATTAGGTTTATAATTCAGTGTGAATGGTTACTACCCAATAAAAGACATGAAGCAGTCATAACTCAAAGCAAACCTACTAGTTTTCTGGCACTTTCAGCTGAAGCTCATGGTTTTCATGAGAAAACAGAAATGGCTTAGGTGTTATCAAGTGACCTACAGTTGGCATGAAATTTTAGTCATGAGATAAACAAATGTTTATTCAAGGAAGATTTTAACTGCCTCAGCACTGGTGAAGGACTGGAGGTGCTTTGTGAAAACTCATCAGTAGTGGAAGTTCAAGGGTGAATGTATAAATTTTCTATAGTTACTGATCAAATCATGATGAAAAAAAGGGAAATTAGAACAAAACTAAGGACCTGAACAAAAATGATCGGGGTGTTGGAGGGGTTCTGAATCTTAAGTTTCACTTTATGTTAAAAAAAACACTTCACTGAAATAAATTGCAATACCTTCCCCACAAAATGTCAAATTAATAGTGTAAAATTGGTCCGTTTAACTTTTTTTTCCACTTACGCTGAAGCAAGCTGTGAATGCTACACTGACACATCATCACAGGTGAAGTTAACGCAGCAGACACCTTAGCAAGGAGTTGCTTATACACATCCGGCATTTCAAAGCGCTATTCTGCATGTTTTGGCCACAGGGTGAATACGCTACTGTAAGTCTAACATTCACTGTCTGTTATCTCTGTTTTCAGTCTCTACCAACTCCTGAGGAACCAGTCTCCACTCCACTCTTTAGCTGCTAAAGGCAGCTACAGTTGCAGGTACTGTAGTTCCTAGCTGTGTGTGTCTGCTGGTTGGTGTTGACCTGATATTGTACAGAAAGTTTTTAGAGTTTTTCACTGAGCAGCTGTCTGACACATCTGAAAACAATGCCATGAGAGCAAATGAGTATATTTCAGTAACCTCAACTGTGAGCTGAAACTTCTTTTGACGATACATGTGTCCAGGGATAGATAGATAGATAGATAGATAGATAGATAGATAGATAGATAGATAGATAGATAGATAGATAGATAGATAGATAGATAGATAGATAGATAAAGTCATTCTACCCTATCTACCCTACCATTATCTGGTGTTTATTGTCATCACTGACCTCACCAGCAATTGCATTAACATGAGCAGCAGCATAATTATCACCATAAACAACACCACTGAGGTATGAGAGGCACAGCAGACTGACGCAGGACGTGTTGTTTACCTTCAGGGATTAGCCCTAGTTAAAGGAAAATGGTAGGGAACCTTTACAGAACTGTACTTTCATTGCTTTAG